TAGTAAATTTCCTGTTGAAATAACTAATAATAATCAGTTATTTTTCTTGTCTTTCTTCTGCTTTCAGAAGCGTCTTATATGTATATATTAGAATATCTTATTATGTAATTTAAGTGATTATTAAAATCACATAGTACAGTTAACATATATATAATATATATATAAATATATATATATATACATATATGTGTGTATATATACAATTTATTACCAACATGAAAAATATGTGTTCTTTTTTAAATTCTTTTTGGTCTTTGTATCTTGCATTTCACCATTAGTAATACGTAAATGTATGATTTTACAATTTCGTAGCATGACCGCATTAAACTCTATTATTTGTTCTTTTGTTCTGTGATGTGATCTGCTAGTCTGTGATTTATGCAATTACTTCAATTGTGATTGCGATCTTCTACGATATTGAAAAATGCATACTTATTTTACTCATTACTCGGAAATACTTGCTGCATAGTAATATGATTGGAAAACATATTAGACTTTACCTGTATTGAGCTATTATAAATACAATATCATACATGCAGCAATTAGTATATTTCCTACAATGATGAAGCTATTAAGATACAAAGAATAAAAAGGAATTAAAGAGTAAAACAATTAATATTTTTAACAAAATTTAAATATTTTATTATTTATTTCTCAATTTAATGCGTCTAACGCTATTTTGCTTTTCCCTTGTTTCTTTTTTCTTTCTTATCTTAAAATAATGTATAATTGTAATATAATATATGTATAATTGTAATTATAATAAAAGTATAATTTAAAGCATTTTATTGCTTTAAATAATTATTTTGTAATATTTTTTTATTTATTTAAAAGTTTTTTCATTTTTTTACGTTTTGCAGCTTTTCTTTCTTCTTTTTCAGCACGATTGTTATATCTTGTACGTGAATATAATTTTACACGGATTAAATATTCCAATGCTTTCAATCGATGTTTATAACATGGATTATTTTCATGAAACCATTCTGAATTAATTTTATTCGTTTCTCTTATGCATTCCTTTTTAATGTTTTGTAAAATTCCTGTTGATGCCCATTATCGTTCCCAATTACAATTAAATGTATGTAATTGAATTTCGACCATCTTTGCAAAAAGAGTTGTCGGTCGTATTAATTTCGTAACTGTAGGAGCATCTTCATCAGGATTTGGATACTTTCGCTCTATATATTTTTCATTAGCTGTTGCTTCATCCATTGGTGTCTTCATTATAATATTACGACAATGATCGCAATTAGTTTTTTCTAAGCTTTTTCGTGCAACATATCCAGCAAAATATGCAATAGCATTCTCATCGTAAGTACTCAATGAATTTTTATTCCCTGTAGCTTCGATGTTATCATATTCTTCGAGAATTTCAATGTCATCATCAAATAATGTATCCTCGGGATCAATTTCATTTTGTGTATCAGTATGACTCGCACTCATAGAATTTTCTATTTAACTAACTTTGTGGGCGGATTTATAAGACACTCAGCTTCTGGATACTGCACATTGGCTCTGTCATTTGTATGAATATATCCTATACATAATATATGTCTTACAGTATATCGTAGCATTTTTGAAGTAGGATTAGGAGTAAATCCACCGCGTTGTCTGAATTTTGAAAATAAATGTTCAACAGAATCTTGATTACACAATCCTGTCGCAAGTTCAAACGTTTTATATTCCATTTTTATATCAGTGTACGTTCCTAAAATAGCTTGTACAGTTAAGGCAGGATACCACCTTTGATTGCAATTTTGGAGGCGTTTTTCTTGATTTTTTTTTTCATACAAAAAATGCGCAGAAAGAAAATCGGTTTTAGCCATTTATTAA